GACCATGTTTACTGCCTTGCCGTAGATCCTATGCCTATGCCATAGCCATGGGTACATGGGGAATTCTACTTTGCGAAGTGGTCAAAATAAATAATTCGACTTTTTGACTATTGTTTTGGTTGCATTCGTTTGTGGTTTGGAGTAGAGTTCTAGTGTTCTGGTGGTCGTAGTGCAGTAAAATCGAACGTTCGTTTTTACGGGCGGGGGGGGGGGGCAGGGTTGGAAAAAGTGCTAAAAAAGTTTCGTTCCGACTTTTAAAGGGGAAGTTAAGGGGCAAAAATCAAAATTTCACCAGTTGTAGTCTTCGGGGTGCTGTAGGCCTTGACAGATTATGCTAATATTTTCGTTAAATTATGCTTTTCACATTGCTGAAAAAATTGCGGAATTATGCCAATTTTATGCTAAAAGTTATCATAATATATTATGCCGCATTATGCTCACATATGCTGCTAATGTATATGATGGTTCTGTGCAAAATAACAGGGGAATTTTGTAGAGGGCGTTGTACTGTAGTAGCAAAAGTTCAACGGGGTCAACGCACCGTCCGACCTAGCTACGACCGTCACTGATTGTAGTGGACTGGACATGTTATTATTATTATTATTATTATTATTATTATTATTATTATTATTATTATTATTATTGTAGAAGAGAAAAGGACATATGGATACGAGTTAAGAGTAACTCTCCATCACTGTAACATGATACTTTATACAGTCAGAAAGTGCAATAACTAGGCACAAAACTGACAGAGTACTGAAACATTCGACGTCCTGACACCTATGAGCCGTCACGAACCATACGGCGAAACGTACGTCGTGTGAAACAACTTGTTTTGTAGTCAACTAGTCCATCACAATGTCATGCATGAGGAGTACTGTAGGAGTTTGGCTTTCGGCTTGTACAATTCGTTTTCGCAAAGCTTCCCTTTCTTTACTTATCTTTGATATTTATGACCCACCCAAGTTGGGTGGTGTGCTGCTTTGCTGCTTCGAATTGTAGTTAGACCGCTTTGTCAAATATCGTACTGGTCTCGTCATCGTCCAGTAACAATCGACATTCTTTGTTCCGTTGGGACTGTAGCTTTTGCTCGTTTTCGTTGCGCTTGCCTTCCCCTCTTTGGTCTTTCCATAACCTTGAACCTTCCAAGTTGGAAGGCTGTCGGTTAGCGCTACGGAGATGTGTTGAAGCTAGGTGTCAGGACGTCGAATGTTTCAGTACTCTGTCAGTTTTGTGCCTAGTTATTGCACTTTCTGACTGTATAAAGTATCATGTTACAGTGATGGAGAGTTACTCTTAACTCGTATCCATATGTCCTTTTCTCTTCTACATTTATTTATGGCTCAACATCCGAGTTTCATATTATTATTATTATTCTTTTATTCCACGATGGCGTGACGCCAATAAGTATAGGATATTACCAAGAGTACATAACCAAGAAGTTGAAGTTCTGCCGTCGCAGACCCCATAGCTGGAGTTGCACACTCTTGGGTTATGTGGCAACGTCTGTAGGGCCTTCCCTATCAAAATAATAAATTCTACTACTACTACTACTACTACTACTACTACTACTACTACTACTACTACTACTACTACTACTACTACTACTACTACTACTACTACTACTACTACTACTACTACTACTACTACTACTACTACTACTACTACTACTACTACTACTACTACTACTACTACTACTACTACTACTACTACTACTACTACTACTACTACTACTACTACTACTACTACTACTACTACTACTACTACTACTACTACTACTACTACTACTACTACTACTACTACTACTACTACTACTACTACTACTACTACTACTACTACTACTACTACTACTACTACTACTACTACTACTACTACTACTACTACTACTACTACTACTACTACTACTACTACTACTACTACTACTACTACTACTACTACTACTACTACTACTACTACTACTACTACTACTACTACTACTACTACTACTACTACTACTACTACTACTACTACTACTACTACTACTACTACTACTACTACTACTACTACTACTACTACTACTACTACTACTACTACTACTACTACTACTACTACTACTACTACTACTACTACTACTACTACTACTACTACTACTACTACTACTACTACTACTACTACTACTACTACTACTACTACTACTACTACTACTACTACTACTACTACTACTACTACTACTACTACTACTACTACTACTACTACTACTACTACTACTACTACTACTACTACTACTACTACTACTACTACTACTACTACTACTACTACTACTACTACTACTACTACTACTACTACTACTACTACTACTACTACTACTACTACTACTACTACTACTACTACTACTACTACTACTACTACTACTACTACTACTACTACTACTACTACTACTACTACTACTACTACTACTACTACTACTACTACTACTACTACTACTACTACTACTACTACTACTACTACTACTACTACTACTACTACTACTACTACTACTACTACTACTACTACTACTACTACTACTACTACTACTACTACTACTACTACTACTACTACTACTACTACTACTACTACTACTACTACTACTACTACTACTACTACTACTACTACTACTACTACTACTACTACTACTACTACTACTACTACTACTACTACTACTACTACTACTACTACTACTACTACTACTACTACTACTACTACTACTACTACTACTACTACTACTACTACTACTACTACTACTACTACTACTACTACTACTACTACTACTACTACTACTACTACTACTACTACTACTACTACTACTACTACTACTACTACTACTACTACTACTACTACTACTACTACTACTACTACTACTACTACTACTACTACTACTACTACTACTACTACTACTACTACTACTACTACTACTACTACTACTACTACTACTACTACTACTACTACTACTACTACTACTACTAAGTACGAGGGTGTTACCTACCGAATATATATATATACTCAATCTGCGGACAGCATGCTGTTTCGTTCTTTTTGAACTCATCAGAATATATATATATATATATTTTTACCATCAGTGAGCATGTCATGAAAATAAATCCGAGAAGAAAGAAAAAGGCCCAACCCTGCCCTGCCAGTTATTTGGACTTACGGGGGGTCGCCATGGCAAATAATAAACATAAAACTGCACACGTTTGGGCTCTCCGCCTTCTCCGTGAAATTATAATACCGTAAAAGAAAACTAGAGGGGAAAAAAGAAGCAACAATGAGGAATAGGAACTGATTTAGGAACCACTTGCAGTCAGTTATACAGGGCAGCGGGCCTCGGCAACGACCAAGGTAGCAGATGCATCCGCCACATTGCTGACGCGCATGGGGCGTCGCCGAGCACCACGTAAACAAACCATGCTGGAGCGAACCAGAGCAAAGCCAAGTCGGCAGCGAATCCACGCCATTACACGGTTGTACGTACCCATATGCCGGTCCTTTCTGTCGCAGAATATCCCACCAAGCGCGTAGTCGTTGGACTCTGCCGCCCGCGGAGGAGTCGTCTGCAAACCACATCTGGATCGTTCCCTCAGCCGAGAGAGCACGAATGAGGGGTAGAATGCCCAGCGCATACATCGGCATCGCGATAGGATCACCTTGGGTGGTGCCCTCTGCCGACATGATGACGCTGCCCCCAACAAACAGCTTTGCGGGTTGTCGGTAGCTGTTAATAACGACTGTCGCCAGGGATGGGCATAGGTGACGCATGTTGCGCAGGCATGCTTCCCTGTTCAGCGTGTTAAACGCATTCGTGGCATCTGCCATTAAGACCGTATCCTCCTGGTCGAACGCCTGCTGCATGGCATGTATCGCCGCCTCGATCCCGCAGTCCTGGCCTGCACAGAGTTGAAGGGTGCCAGCTGCCTCTTTAATATCCTGACCAATTACGTACAGGATGGCCTTGCCCACCACTCTCCGCATCACCTCGCCAATCCCAATGGGTCTAACCCCCGGGTTCTTGTTGAGGGGGATGAGTCGGGATGCCAGGTACGCTTCCAGCGATCGGGGGTCGACAAATTCGGTCGCTTCACGTCGAGCAGAGCTTGCCAGCGCATCGCATAGCGAGTCAGACGCATCGGAGAACATTGTGCACATCCACCTCCATGCCTCAGCGTCTACACCTGACGGGCCGGCTGCGCCATGAGTGTTGAGTACCGCAGTGTTACCAACCGCCCGTATTTGTCCGTATTTTTACGGAAATACAGCCATTTGTCCGCAGCACGGAAATAATCCAGATTCTCCCGGAAAATCCAAAAAAATCGGTAGCACCAAGCAAGAACGGCAGATTCGGTAGTATACAGAGTAGAATCTGGTCCCTGGATCTACGTAACTCTCCAGAGTGCGCCGCGACTTTATCAGATCTGGGACGCGTCGATCGACGGCGCAATCCGTGATACACGTTTAGTCCGGGATCCGGATTCTGAGAAATCAATTTTTCGCAGTAGGTGTGCCACTTTGGAAGGAGGATTTGGGCATGGTCCAGTTAGATAGGGAAGGGGTTTGGTAGCATGGATTCACTTGTCGGACTCCTGAAAGCTGTGCCATAAGCTTGCTACGAGGGGGTTTCATGCCAATTTCTCCTCGCCGATTTCAAGATCTTCGTGCGCCTGAGCATTGATTGGGCACGCTCACATGAAGCATTTTACGCGCAGTGAGGGAAATGCATCAGTACAGTACAGTATTTTTGAATTATTTCAAAAACGTTGTCAACACTAGTAATAGCACTCGACTCGTCTCGACTCGATTGAAGGATTACTTATTAGTGGTGTCGAGTCTGAAGCCCGAGCCATAGCTGTACTAGCCTGTAGTTGCTGAAGCCCCATCCTATGGAATACTACCAACTCCCCGGCACAAGGTGAGCCAGTATTTTGTCTTGAATCACGAACTTGAAAAATAAATTTCCCAAAAAAGACTGAGACACATTGTGAGTTTGATATCAATATTCAATGTTCAATAACAATGCACTTCTGTGTTGGTACACTGATTCTGGTATCCAATGAAAAGAACAAAATAACGTGTCAGTATGTGTCCTCGCTGCATCTCTCTCAAGAAATATTTCTCAAGAAATATTCGTTCAGTTCATCACTTGAATAATTGTCAGTAGATTAATTATCAGTACATGATGATATGTTGCAATGATGCGCACCTCCAGGTAAAATATATTAAAATAGATCATCATGTACTGATAATTAATCTACTGACAACAACAAAAAGTAATACAATAGTATCTCACACACACAATGTTTATCAATATACAAAAGGAATATGCTGCAATGATTCGCGCATCCTGGTAAAATAGTTAAAAGTACCGTAAAATCCCGCCAGAGCGCCCCGTCTCTCCCATCCGCCCCTCCCTGACTTCTTGTCAGGGACGTGATTGATTGTATCCTCGTATGACTCTGTTGCAGTCTGTGATGCCGTACTGCACTGCAGACGCGTGCTCGACCCCGTTGGAAATGTACGCAACAGTGCCCACCCTCCTGACCAGGGATCGCACAAACCCTGCGTTTTGTCGGGTCTGTTCGACTCCTGGCTCTTGACCTTTGGTCGGTGTACGAGATGCACGAACAGTTTTCGTAGGGTGAGTACTTTTTCATGTAGCACTGAATGCGGCAAGCAGGACTCGCCCATCCGCCCCTCCCCACCTGAAGCGGAGGAGGTAGGGGCGCTCTGGCGGGATTTTACGGTAGTACAATTTTACACTGTATATTACACAAACTGTTTCTCAATATGATGATATGCTGCAATGATGCCGTGCACGTGCGCACATCCAGCCCACAGTGTCTGTGTAGCACTGTCCGTGCATGGAAAAACGGTCGTAGGTGGTCGGTAAAACGAGAGGTCGCTTACACCAGGTTTTACTGTAGTACAATAGTACACACAATGTTTATCCATATACAAAATCTAGGAATATTGCCACATGGCATGTATGTTAGTTTTAGAGCCTTGCTGTCACTGTTAGTTTTCTAACTTGATTCATTCTTGTATGTCTAATTTCTCCCTTTACAATATGGCAGCTGCGCAAGGAATTCAAACTGACGCACTGTCACTATCAACGTTATCATTGCTGAGATCATCACTCGTACACGCAGCTGATCAATCACTATCGGACACACGAGTCGTCACAATCTGAGTTTGGCTGGGCATGATTGGACTCAGTTTCCAGTTGCGATACGTCACCGGACGTACTTTGCTGTGGTGGTTGCTCTGGCCTACTGTTGAGCGGACTTGCGCATGTACCTTCGCAGCGGCAGATGTCAGTGCACGCAAGAGATGACTTCTTGCATGAGCAGCGTTGAGTGTCACACACTCCTCGGCACCCGCAGCTGATGAGGCTCTGAAGTTCTTTTGGCACTGCCTGCTGTTCTGTCCAATTCACAGCAACTCTGCCTGAAGGAAGAAACAAACATTGTCACAGACAGTTAATTTATTCATCGCGTATATTTTTGCAGTAGACAGTCATAGATATCTGGTTAAATGGGAAGGGCAGCACTGTATCCTTTATCCTTTTATCTGCTAATTACAATTCTTTCAACCTTGCAGTATGTTTCTCAATATCCGCAGACTCCACTGTAGCCTTTGTAGACGCGTACCATACCATAATAATTACACAAGTGTAAATTTCCTCACGCATAACTTGATCCAAAGTTGGGTACATTATCGGTGCTAATTATTTATCGGAACAACTTACCGTCGCTGTCTTGAATCCATCCTCTGCCGATGGGCGTAGGCACATCGGGCTTCGGTTGCAAAGCCAGTCGCCACACAGTAGCCTGGTAATTAGCGCGTGCTGTGTGGACATTATGTAGCTCTAACACATCTCCAGTGCGTAAGCCAACAGCCTTCCAGCTCGGAAGGTACCATAACCTTGAACCTTCCAAGCTGGAAGGTCCAATCAGTGGACAGAGCCAGTACTACTACCAGGTAGTATCATCAGGCGATGTTTTATGGCTCTACCATCAGGGGAAATGGAAAGAGGAAAGCACACGGCAGAGACTTATCTGGAGCTGAATGACCTGAACTACTTTCGGAAGGGACAGCGACGAACGAAAAACCAGGACGTTGCATAGAAGCAAGTAATTCCTTCAAAGAAATCCACGCCGAGCATCGCTTTTTGAAAAGTGTTTGAATTGTGGCATCGTTTTCTTCTTCCTTTCCTAGTCAGAGGTGTTTCACATTTTTGGGCGCGCTCTCTTTTCTCTCAATGGTTGCATTCATGATTTTTCGCCCAGTGAGCCAAAAATATTACGATATCTCCTGCCTGAAATTGTCGATTTGTCGTCGGATATATTCCCTTCTCCTGAGGCTATGGCACAGCTTTGAGATGTCCGACAACTTCAGACATACTCACTGTTAGGTACTTGAAGGGTTGGCGAAGAGTTTTTGTGCTCCCTACGAAGTGGTACCCAAATTTTCGATTTCGAGATCGGGATCCCGGACTAGTTTGACATTTTCATGATTATTTTTTGTTTTGTTTCCTCGTGGTGCGCAGGTCGATTTTCACAACATGTAATAGATGACTTGCACAAAGATTGTCTGGGTTCGAGACGGGGCAAGTGGACCTTCTGGACTGTACTTCTGACTCTGACTTCCCCACCTTTTGAGTTCGTGACTTTCGAAGTTTCGCTTTTTGCCTGACGAACACTGAGCTATTTTTTTTGGCTAGAGAGTAGAGTTGTTTTGATTCGGCTTGTATCGTCATGCCGAAGCGCTGCTACGCTCCTGAATACACTAGCAGACGAGAGATGGAACTGAGGCTCCCATTCCATACGTTCCTTTCCGAGCCGGCCGACCGGGAGGCAGAAAAAATGAGGGAATATTATTTTAGTATCATTGGTGTAGGCTGCAACAAGCACGTCGTGGTCCTGAAGTGTGACAACTTTCCCGCAGTGGAAGCGAAGTCAAGCACAACGAAAGTTTGTGGACGTCTGAGAAAGAACTCGATTCCCTTCGATTCGGCTGCACTAGCTCCAGAGCGACCCTCTCCTGAGGACAGACTGCGGAGAGGCCAGGAACCTGCCGAGTCAAGAGTGGAAGCCCGAATCACGAAAATGAGGGGTGGAAGGACTGAGTGTGAGAGCCAGATGGCCTTTAGTAGTACTTCAAGTAGTATCTGAGTTGAAGGAGAGAACAAGTGTGCTGGAGAAACGCTGCGAAGTCCTCAGGCCTGATGTGTACTAGCTACTGTTGAAGTCTCACTTGTTCCGATATGAACACTTCATCAGCCCTGACTCTGAGCAGCTGTATCTAGACTTGGACTTAGGCCAGATACATAGCATTGTTAACCTTACTGAAGCCATATGTATCCAATGCCTGGCTCTAGTGAGAAAGCAGTTTGGCGCAAGCTCGCAAACTATGATTGAATCAGGGAGTGGTGGAAAGTCACATTATACCTCCCCATGATTAGCTGCTAATGACGACGATGCGGCTCCGGCTGGGTCTCAGTCTCAGAAAGGATTTGTTGGAGCATCATCAAACAGTGCATTCGCCTTCATCATACACTGGCTCCGTTGCCTACAGTAATTCACATTTTGCCGGGGCGCGCTGGGACGATACGGAAGAAGCGGCGGGAACCATTGGAGTGCTCATGATGCTGGTTAGCGAAGACCAATGCGTCAGGAACGGGAACGCAACCGCACTACTGTACAGATCAGGAAGCGATGGAAGAGTTGAATCTGCTCAGCCTTCCATGCCGTGTACAGGGACACAAACGTAAAAATAGCTACATTTCAAATGTGAACTGGCGATGGCATTATGTGGCGACGAACACAACTGCAACTGTTCAAATTTCAGCATTTCGAACATTATGCTTCCCATGATAACTCACCGAATGGCTCACATGACGGAGTTGGACATTACCAGGCTAGGATAATCATTTGCTGTATTTATGGATAGTCCTTGAGTTTTCAGATGAAGTGCTTTATCTTTTACCTGTCGTTACTTTAGTATGGCACAATGTCCATGGCTGCTTCCTTGTCTTCATAACAGACTGGTATAATCAGCATGATTCTGCTTTTTTGAGAAGAAATAAAACTTTCCTTTCGGAAAGGAAGCCCAGAAACGTCAACCCCCATGGACTGTGCTTTATGACTCTCGTCCATCGACGTTAACCGTCGCAATAACTGCTGCATGTATGTTGTGCTGTGCGAACCGTACAAGATTTTACAGCTCACCCACGCCTTCCCAACAGGCTCCTATATCCCGTACCGTTAGCGTTACATTGAATATGAACTAGGCTAGCACAGTTATCCTTCGTTCTTTTGATGGCGGCGGGTAGCATGGAACTTGACGTGTTCTTGGGATCCTCGTGCAACACTTGCTGTTCCCGGATGCCATATTATTGGGTGCATCGAGTTTGCTTCTATGCTCACTGTTGTTTAGTAAGACAATTTTTTATAACTATTTCACCAAAGAATAAGGCAAGAGTATTTTGGGTTGGTTTGGACGCCTGGCTTCTCTTCACATAATAATACAGTCATGTACTTCCACTCAGGGAGTAGTAGTACTGTACAATACCTACTTCCACTAACCCTACAAGTGCACATGCATGACTCATGAGCTGCTGAAGACAGTGACGGTACTGATCATGTACATGTACATGCCGTGCACCGTTCATTCATGCTGACAAAAAAAGTACACTACACTACTCGTCTACAGACGGTGTACAGTGGTGTAGGGTGCCCGCAGTGTAGCCTGGGTGCACAGGGTGCACTTGCCCCGTCTCACTCGCGGCTCGGATCTTTGTGCAAGTCATCTATTTTAGCAAGAGTCCATAACCCCGGACTCTTGATTTTAGTTGACTCCCTGCATAGCACCACAACAGCACCACATCTGCACATCCCTGTAGGCATACCCATTCATGCACTCCCGGCTGACCTTTGCCCTGCTGACCCTTTGACTCCCTTGCATCAAGAGTACATCTGGTCAAGTTTCATGTATAGTACCAAGAGTCCATAACCTGGGTTATGGACTCTTGATAGTACTCTTGCTTGCATGCACTGCACTGCATGCACCCCTTTTCCCGCTCACCCTGTCTCACTAACTGCGTGCACCCCTTTTCCCGCTCACCTTATTTCCCACTGCATGCACCTCTCTTCCCCTCTTTAGCAGGGAGTCGTAAAATACTTTTTTTTTACTTTTTTTTTACGACTCCCTGCTCTTTAGTTATACCCGGAAGGCTGCGCTTGCGCAGTGTAGTTCTCCCAGTGCTTCTCCTTGTGCCTTTATTGTGGTTCTCCTTGTTGTTCTCCGAGTCTTCTCCTTGTAATTATCCCAGTCCTCTTTGTGCTTCTCTGAGTCCGACAATATAACTATCATAACAACCCATAATTGCGTGCAGTCTGAGATAGAGTGTTATAAAGTACAGTAGTATAGTATAGTATTATAGTAGAGTAGTCTCCAGTCCAGCCAGATCCCATATGACTACACTTTGTGGTTTGATGCAAAATTTCAAACTCATCGGAGCAATTGGTGTGCACGTGTATTGAAGCGATCTTCAATTCCTCAAATCATTTCGTAGTGACAGTGTTCCTTTCTTTCATGTAGTCCTGGAATTATTTTAGCCTAGTCGTTTAGTCGGACAAGAGATGGACATCCCTCTTCATCTCCTTGCGCCATTGCTTCGTACGAGGTATGTGATCGTCGGCCATTGCATGTCTACCCGATTACGATCGTACACAATTCTTGCTCGTAGTCTGAGTCCATCTAATAGATTATATTTATTTGTTTGGTAATTTTTCATCGTTTGCAGCTGCAACACTATCGTCATACATCTGCGCGTGAATGCACATGTGCATCTTACCTGGCGATGAGCATGACCCTCCCCCCGATTGAATTGTTGTATAAATTCGTGCAAGGTAAGTAAAATAGTTTACTAAGTCTTGCTGTTAGGTAAATCGGGGGGAGGATTTTTTTCAACAACTCTACAGTACCTGTAGACACGTATGGGTTGTGATGGTGATTGAGTTATTACGGTTGTCATCAAAGAGTTGATATGATGGGGGTTGCGATGGTGATTGGGTTAGCATAACGATAGGATCTGTGCACATAACAACACGATTTGCTAATAGGGTATATACATGTAGGACCTGTACACACATGCATGTAAGATGCTTATTAACGTCCATTTCAAAACTATAGACGCGTACCTAGGCAAAAACCGTTATGCCAGCATCTATACCACATAAAATCTGTGATCACTCTGTGCATAATTTTTTCCAAATAGGGCATCTGTTATCCAATCGTTTGGAAACTATATGAGAGTAATTGTGGAGCGGACCTGAGCAATATTCCGAAAACTAATCTCAAAACGTTCCAGCCAAATTTGAAATATTTCAAAAACCCTACGCGTCTATAGTTTTGAAATGGACTGTAGGGTTTGCTGAGTGTTGTGGTGATCTGTACACAAAAAGCAATGGTACGAGGACTTCTTCAACTGTAGCACCTGCACACATAAAAGAGTAGAGTTGGCATGGTAATATGATTGTCATGGTGATAGGGTTACGAGGGCTACTAGGGTTATTGTCTCCAGAAAAATTAAAATTAGCGGTTATCGTCATGGTGTTATGTTTATCCTCACCAGAAATATTAGGGTTATCGTCATGGTGATAAGGTTATCACCACCAGTAAAATTTAGGGCTATCGTCATGGTGATAGGGTTATCAGGAATATTAGGGTTATGGTCATGGTGATAGGGTCAGGGTTATC